AACCGACATACACACATATCTAAGTACAGACGACATACACACATATCTCGGTACAGACGACATACACACATATCTCAGGACAGACGACATACACACATATCTCAGAACAGGAGACATACACACATATCTCAGTACAGACGGCATACACATATATCTCAGTACAGACGACATACACACATCTCTCAGTACAGACGACATACACACATATCTTAGTACAGACGAAATACACACATATCTCAGTACAGACGACCTTTACACACATATCTCAGTACAGACGACATACACCCATATCTCAGTACAGACGACATACACACATCTCTCAGTACAGACGACATACACACATATCTAAGTACAGACGACATACACACATATCTCGGTACAGACGACATACACACATATCTCAGTACAGAAGACATACACACATATCTCAGTACAGACGACTTTTACACACATATCTCAGTACAGACGACTTACACACATATCTCAGGACAGACGACATACACACATATCTCAGAACAGACGACATACACACATATCTCAGTATCTCACCTTGCCTTCTTCAAGTTATTGATATTACACACCAAACCTGGTAACAATTTGCAGTATAAGGGTTTAGGAAGACCAGGATGTACAACAAAAGACCAGGATGTACAACAGAAGACCAGGAGGTACAACAGAAGACCAAGATGTACAACAGAAGACCAGGATGGACAATAGAAGACCAGGATGTATAACAGAAGACCAAGATGGACAACAGAAGACCAGGATGTACAACGGAAGACCAAGATGTACAACAGAAGACCAGGATGAACAACAGAAGACCAAGATGTACAACAGAAGACCAGGATGAACAACAGAAGACCAGGACGTACAACAGAAGACCAGGATGTACAATAGAAGACCAGGATGAACAACAGAAGGCCAGGATGGACAACAGAAGACCAGGATGGACAACAGAAGACCAGGATGTACAACAGAAGACCAGGATGTACAACAGAAGACCAGGATGTACAATAGAAGACCAGGATGAACAACAGAAGACCAGGATGTACAACAGAAGACCAGGATGTACAACAGAAGACCAGGATGTACAACAGAAGACCAGGATGGACAACAGAAGACCAGGATGGACAACAGAAGACCAGGATGGACAACAGAAGACCAGGATGGACAACAGAAGACCAGGATGGACAACAGAAGACCAGGATGGACAACAGAAGACCAGGATGGACAACAGAAGACCAGGATGGACAACAGAAGACCAGGATGGACAACAGAAGACCAGGATGGACAACAGAAGACCAGGATGGACAACAGAAGACCAGGATGGACAACAGAAGACCAGGATGGACAACAGAAGACCAGGATGGACAACAGAAGACCAGGATGGACAACAGAAGACCAGGATGGACAACAGAAGACCAGGATGGACAACAGAAGACCAGGATGGACAACAGAAGACCAGGATGGACAACAGAAGACCAGGATGGACAACAGAAGACCAGGATGGACAACAGAAGACCAGGATGGACAACAGAAGACCAGGATGGACAACAGAAGACCAGGATGGACAACAGAAGACCAGGATGGACAACAGAAGACCAGGATGGACAACAGAAGACCAGGATGGACAACAGAAGACCAGGATGAACAGGATGTACAACAGAAAACCAGGATGTACAACAGAAGACCAGGATGTACAACAAAGTATCAAACTAAAGGCCAAAGTCTCAAGCTCCAGGATATTTCCTTTGCCCAATGTTATTCTAGAAGCAATTCAGGTGATATCTGAATACTCTTTCTCTTTTTGAACACCCTCTGTTTAAATACAGCATTCAGTCCCCTTGTCCCAAAGATGCTGACCCAGTGAAATTTGGTTCAAATCCCTTCATTGATAGCGTGAGGAAGATTTTAAAGGTTTATACTATTTCCCTTTATTCAGTTGTGTTCCTTTGTCACCAGATTGGCTTCATGCACCCTCTGTTTATACTATAACGAGTCCCCTTGGCCAAACAATGCTTCAGATCAAATTAAGTCAGAATTCACTTTGCCGTTCTGGACTATTTAAAAGAAAGTAGAAATACAGATGAAGGGGTATAGTCTATCATTAACAGACTGAAGTACTGTAAGCACTGAAGGAGGCGTTAAGTCAGATAGTTGGACATGGAAAATAATGAAATGTAAAAGGTGAAATTTGAAATAAAGCAATTGATACTAACACAATTATTGATACACATTCAAGAGCAAGTACTTATTTTTAAACTTAGAACTACTTACCATCAAAGTTACCTGCTTATCAAACACTGGAATTTCAGAACATTTTCAACTGGAACTCCCCCCTTCCCCATCCAGTCTGATTCCCACTCTGGCCCAAACACCTTTTAATAAATATAACAAGAGGCCCATGGGCCTTAACGGTCACCTGACATCCGCTTCAAATTAGGACTGTCATCCAGGGGCCAATTCATACTTTTCGTCGGTCCGAGTGACCTTGCTGCATCGTCCATTAATTTTTCCTTGTGAACACAATAACTTCAGTAAATATAAACCAGTTTTGATGAAACTTTGTATGCAGCTTTGTATCAATGAGATCTTGGATGAGTTTGAATACCGGACCAATTTGACCATAACTTACATAGTTTTTCCCCGTGATAATTCTATTATTGTTGGACCCTGTGAACACGATAACTGAATTAAATGGGTGTGACTCCAATTTTGACCCTAGGGGTCTGTTTTGAAAAAACTTGGTAACTGTATGTCTTCTGTTCTTGTTTAAAAGAAACAAGTAAAAGCGTAAATCAATGATTTATTAAAAAAGGCACAAAATTTTAATAGCATCTTGTTTATTGAGTAGCAAAAATGCGTCATGAATGCAAAAAAAAGGTGTACCACATGAATTTACATCTATTCTTGTGTAATGTCAATCAACATCACAGGGACAAATAATAATATAATGACAAAGGGCAATAACTCTGCAGGTTACCGTCAAATAATTACCGCACAAAGTTTCATTGAACTCAGTCAACATTTATTCAAGTTATTGTGTTTACAAGGTCCAATAATAATATTATTACACAGGGCAATAACTCTTTAAGTTACTGTCAAAAAATTCCCAGTTTTGAACTCATTCGAGATCTTATTGATATAAGGCTACATACAGAGTTTCATCAAACTTGGTTGATATTGACTCAAGTTATCGTGAACACAAGGTCCAATACAAAATAGTGTAATAATATTATTACAAAGGGCAAAAACTCTGTAAGTTACCGTCGAATAATTCCCATTTTCGAATTCGTCTGAGATCTTTTTGATATATGGCTGCATACAAAGTTTCAACAAACTCGGTTAACATTTACTCAAGTTATTGTGTTCATAAGGTCTAATAATAATATTATTACAAAGGGCAATTACTGTGTAAGTTACTGTCGAATAATTCCCATTTTCAAACTCGTTCGAGATCTTATTGATATATGGCTGCATACAAAGTTTCATCAAACTCGGTTAACATTTACTGAAGTTATCGTGTTCACAAGGAAAAGTTAACGCACAACGCATGACGGATGACGACGGACAAAAGACTATCACAATAGGTTACCATGACCTAGGTCCAAAACATCAGTGTGTGCTGACTACATCAGTGAAATTTCGAAAATGAAGTCGTTGAAGGTATTTTTGCTTCACTCTTATTCACCAAGTATAACTCATCCAATAGGGCGGAATGGGGGAAAATGTAGTTTACAACAGAAGATTTAAAGTCCAATCTTTGAAGATAATCAAATGATTTAATTTCTGTTATACACATGTTCATATTATACATAATAAAATGACCAATAAAAAAAGTTATAATTTATTTGTGTTTGGCTGTTATGACAACTATATTTTTTGTAGTGAAACGGTTGTCCTGATCAATAACTACTATCTCACAGTTGTCTCCCTACCAACAGTATTATTTTTTATAATTTGATAAATGTTCAAAAATGGATGAAGGGGAATATAGTATAAAGATTTTAAAGTCAATATTCTTATCAATATTCTTATTGTTATTGAAAATAATGTTAACTATTTGAATGAGTTTAGTATTTCTTACATAGACTATATGAACGAAGTGCTACAAAAGTTGTCTCCCTAGCATTTTCAGTAACGGAGGTTACCGACAGAGGTCGCAAATTCTGTACTTCTGATGGAAAAAAAATACTAATGATACTTCCGATAGGTGATCTCCATACGGCAGGCATTATAAACACCTCCGTAAAAATAGATTTAAACAATTTACAATAAACTCAAATAAGTTAAATTAATGGTACAATTTAATTTCATGAAGTGTAGCCTTTCGTGCATATGTACAATAAAACAACAATTAAAAGTAACAAAATAATAGGTTCGTAGAAACCATCCCAAGATGTCAGTGTACTTATGTCACACAGCATAGGTCACAGTCAGGTCATAGTTGAAGTAAAAGTGAAGTAAAAGTGAAGGTCAAAGGTCAAGTCATAGGTCACAGTGATCTAATTCTTGCACTCTGCCATCCCCAGATGTTCTTGTACACCAAATCTGTTTACTCCAGGTGAAATAGTATGGAAGCTGTGCCCGGACGAACATTTAAAAAGTTAAGGTTAAAGGTCAATGCATAGGTCACAGTGAGGTCATAGTGACCTTTTTCTTGCACTCTGCACTCCACCATCCCAAGATGTCCTTGTACACGAAATCTGGTTACTCCAGATGAAATAATATAGAAGATATGCCCCGGACAAGACAGAAGGACAGAATGACGGACGGACAGATGGACGGAGTGCAAACATATAGCCCCCCCCCCCCGGGAACCGGTGGGAGACTTATAACACAAAAGGTGGGAGGGAGACAGGACCCTTTATCATTATACAACATACTATAGCTATCATGACACCATTCTGCTTTTTCTGGTCTTCCCTGATACCAATGGAAGGCTGCACCCAATCAATACCATAGAGCAGATTGTCATTTTACAGATTGTAGGGCAAGACACCGAACAAGAGGACTCGACTCAACCATTGTGATTGGTCAGTAGGATTGGTCAGTGTGATTCACTGGTGAGTGCTTTGGTCAACTAACAACAGGCCCAGTAATTATAGCCTGCAAACTTGTTTTTAGACTTGAGAGTACACACTGACTGGCTGAGAAGTTCCGGGGATGCTGTAGTTGTGTGAGGAGCCAAAGTTGCTGCGATGAGTAGAGAGCACTGTTAAAGTTTTACAAGGTTAAGGAAGCCCAGTTACACATTGTCGACAGACAACAACAGGAGTGAAAGACTTACAGGACACAACGTTCAGTTACACACTGTCACCAGACAGCAACTGGAGTAAAAGACTTACAGGACACAACACTCAGTTACACACTGTTACCAGACAGCGACAATATCACCTGGATTTACCTATGTGATCTGAAGTGATATGCCTGGCAGAAATAGTTTTCTTAATTAGCAGGTAGGTTACATTTATCATTTTCTTCCATCCTTTTCTAATTAATTGAATCTTTCTTCTTGTTTCTTGTTTATATATTTATGATAGCAGAAAGTTGAGAAAAAACTTTTTATATAATGGAAATAAATTTATACCCAAGTTAAGTGTTTGGAGCGTATGGACACCAAATTACAAAGAATCCACTAATTTAAAAATTTAATTTTGTTACAATTTTACATAAATGTGAAAAAATACTAAATTTTGTAAAAAGGATTTTTTTTCTTCTTCTAAAAACCGAATTTTAACATAAAATAATGATCCCAATATGGGTTTTTTTGTTTGTTAAAATTTCAACGTTATGAGTAAACTGTACTACACCGTAAAATGTCTTAAACTTTAAATATACTAAAATGTCATTATTTACTTCACTGAAATATGTACACGTCATAGTTCATTGTAAAATGTAGCACAATGTAAAATGTCTTAAACTTTAAATATACTAAAATGTCATTATTTACTTCACTTAAAAATGTACACTTAGCTCATTGTAAAATGTAGTACAATGTAAAATGTATTTCACTCTCAAATAACTTCACTATAAAATATATTTTATAGCAAATACTTTTAAAATGTACCAACCTGCAAAATATACTTTAAAATGAACTACCATCTAAAATATACTTCACTGTAAAATGTACTACCATGTACTACCATCTAAAATGTACTTCACTTTAAAATGTAATACCATCTAAAATGTACTTCACTATAAAATGTACTACCATCTAAAATGTACATTACTATAAAATGTACTACCATCTAAAATGTACTACACTTTAAAATGTACTACCATCTAAAATGTACTTCACTATAAAATGTACTACCATCTAAAATGTACTTCACAATAAAATGTACTACCATCTAAAATGTACTTCACTTTAAAATGTACTACCATCTAAAATGTACATTACTATAAAATGTACTACCATCTAAAATCTACTTCACTATAAAATGTTATACATAATAAAGAAATGTACTACACTGTAGAATATAAACTGTACAATGTATTACATTGTGAAGTATTATAAAATGTAAATGTACTACACTGTAGAATATAAACTGTACAATGTATTACATTGTAAAATATTATAAAATGTAAATGTACTACACTGTAGAATATAAACTGTATAATGTATTACATTGTAAAATATTATAAAATGTAAATGTACTACACTGTAGAATATAAACAGTATAATGTATTTCATTGTAAAATATTATAAAATGTAAATGTACTACACTGTAGAATATAAACTGTATAATGTATTACATTGTAAAATATTATACAGTCATATGTACTCATTAAGTGATTGTAAAGTATAGCTGTTGCAATACATTGTCCCAGACTGATATAAAATCTCAAATTCATGTCAATGATATTAAAAAAACAACAACATTATTATCAGTGTCATTTTGGGCTGTAAACACCCTGAAAAGGCTATTTCTTAAAGTTAAGATGCTGTTTCTGTTTTTCATTTTTTGGTCTTGATTTCATATGAACAAATGTCTTTCAGAAACGCTCAGAATAGATTATCTGTGGAAGGAATGAACGGATAAGAAAATTTCTCATTGTATTAAAATTTTGATAATAAAATCCAGGACTATCTTGTTATCAATCTGGCATTTTTATAGCAAACAATTAACATTTACCTAATTTTTTTCATGAAGCCCAATTATTTTCCCTACGGCTTACAGATAAAACCCTTTTTAAGGATTTTTTTTAATTTGAAATAAATCATACTTTTAAACATGTTCACTAAGTGTTAATGAATATTTACAATAAACAAGATGCCCAATGAGCCCGTACAGCTCTCCTGTTATTCATCTACATGTATGACCTTCAAAGAGGGGCGTGAGGTCAAATTTATTCAAATAGGTTGAAGTAACATATTACGGTTATTTGTTTGAAGATCTTATAAACAGTGACTCTACATTTTATCAATCTTTAAGGGTCAATATTGGGGCTATTTTTGTTCATTTTATATGTTATTATGATCAGTGCCTTATCACAAATCAAAGTTCTTTGTATATGTATGCTGATGACACCACAGCGCAATCACAACGGAAATCACTGGACATTGTAAATACCAACCTCAATGCTGATGCAAAATTAGTGTCAAAATGCTGTGATGAAAACTAATGTTTATTAACAGTAAAAAAACACCCGTAGTGCTCGTTACTATACTACCTCACAGAGAAAATGTGAAACTAAAAGAATTATTATTTTGACATGTGATTTTTCAACATCTCACTGTGATATGTTCAAACAAAAGAATTCTATACAACCAGTTAGTTCTTATGTACAAGATACTTAACAAATTAGCTTCACAACATTGGAATGATTTTACATATATATCTGATGTTCAGGGTAGGACTACAAGATCATCATCTACCAATGTGTTTTACTTGCCATGTCATGAGACAAACATTTTTGGAAAACCTTTCAGATATCAGGGACCCCTTACATGGAATCTTTTACAAAGTCAAATTAGAAATTGTACCTCACTTTTAGAATTCAAGAGATCTGCAAAGCAATTTTACTTTTTATGATTTATGATTTCCTCCCTTATCCTGTATGTTATATATGTATATGTCTTAAACCTGTACACACTGTACATCTGATCAAACATTGTATCTTGACCATATGTAATTAACACAAGCTTAAGGCTCAATATGCTGACCATATGTAATTAACACAAGCCTATGTTATTAACACAAGCTTTAGGCTCAATATGCTGACCCTATGAAATTAACACAAGCTTTAGGCTCAATATGTTGACCATATGTAATTAACACAAGCTTAAGGCTCAATATGCTGACCATATGTAATTAACACAAGCTTTAATAGGCTCAATATGCTGACCATATGTAATTAACACAAGCTTAAGGCTCAATATGCTGACCATATGTAATTAATACAAGCTTAAGGCTCAATATGCTGACCCTATGTAATTAACACAAGCCTATGTTATTAACACAAGCTTTAGGCTCAATATGCTGACCCTATGAAATTAACACAAGCTTTAGGCTCAATATGTTGACCATATGTAATTAACACAAGCTTAAGGCTCAATATGCTGACCATATGTAATTAACACAAGCTTTAATAGGCTCAATATGCTGACCATATGTAATTAACACAAGCTTAAGGCTCAATATGCTGACCATATGTAATTANAAATAGGCTCAATATGCTGACCCTATGTAATAAACACAAGCTTTAGGCTCAATATGCTGACCATATGTAATTAATACAAGCTTTAATAGGCTCAATATGCTGACCCTATGTAATTAACACAAGCTTTAGGCTCAATATGCTGACCCTATGTAATTAACACAAGCTTTAGGCTCAATATACTGACCCTATGTAATTAATACAAGCTTTAATAGGCTCAATATGCTGACCCTATGTAATTAACACAAGCTTTAGGCTCAATATGCTGACCCTATGTAATTAA